GGTGGGTGGGAAAATGTCTCATCACTTGAGTCTATGAAAAAGTACAGATGAGTAAGCAAGACTTAAATAATGAAATAAAAAAAGAAAGACGATAAAATGAGGGAGATCTGGAGGCAGCAGGAGGGTCTTCTATACAAAACAGCCCCAGACACACTCAAAGACTTCCTTTCACACACTCGCAGGAGGGCCATCAAGCGCACACACACACACACACACACACACACACACACACACACACACACGCAATGTATGCACACAGAATGCAGCATTGTTGGACCATAGAGATATCTTGCTGAGTGTGTGTTCTGCGTGACTGTGTGTGTGTGTGTGTGTGTGTGTGTGTGTGTGTGTGTGTGTGTGTGTGTGTGTGTGTGTGTGTGTGTGTGTGTGTGTGTGTGTGTGTGTGTGTGTGTGTGTGTGGGGTCGGGGGGGGGGGTGGCAGTCACTCAGCCTGTCAAGTCCTAGTGGAGTGATCAAAGCTGGTACAAACCACCCAGAGAGATCTCTCCCTTCCTCGTCCATTCATCCTCTCGCCATCTCTCTCTGATACAGAAAAAGCGTCAACCACATGGAACCTTCCTCGGCCAATCATATTCAAGTGACAGGAGCAGTGCAGCCAATCGCATCCAACCTACTTAGTTCCAATAGCTCCTCAACTGTCTCCCTCCAAGCATTGAACCCTGGATGGTGCTGCAAGGCACCATGGGACAGGATCAGGGCATAATAGGAGACAGCATGGGAGCTCTGGCAATATCATAATGCCAAGCACACACACACACACACACACACACACACACACACACACACACACACACACACACACACACACACACACACACACACACACACACACACACACACACACACACACACACACACACACACACACACACACACACACACACACGTTACGAAACAACATGGGAGCTCTGCAGGAGCAACACCATGATGCCAAACTGACACACACATGTACAAAATCACACAGTCCCCCACTCATAGACATTCCTGGCACACAGACGCATGTACGTGCAAAGAACACACACACACACACACACACACACACACACACACCACAGGACATCTCTGAGAACACCACTAAACTGCCAACTTAGTTTATGAACACACACACACACACACACATCTTGAGAGCACTTTCAGTACATCTTTACACCTCTGTGCCGCCGGGGTTCACACATATACACCTCCACACCGACACCGACCTGCACAGACGCACAAGCTCCAACACACAAACACTCACACACCCACACACATTTATTTCAAAACTGTGCTGCTTTAAAGCTACTTTTTTTTTTTTTTTTTTTTAGAATATATATTTAAACAAAGAAAGTGAGAGAATATCCCAGAATAAATGTGTGTTAGGTTTTATAAAAAAAAAAAAAGTGCTTATGAACTGAAATCCAAACACACCACGGGACAAATTAAAAAGTCTGCAACCGGAAGCTAAAACGGAGCAACAGAGAGTGTTTCAGACCTGCAGGGGGCTGAATTAAACCGAACACAAAAACCAAACATGATTCAAACGATGACACCACAGAGATGCTGGATTGTTAACGTTGGACACGCTGCAGCCTCGTCGGTGCAATCAACGAGGGGACTTTTGAGGTTTTGCTAAAGAGATCTTGACACCCATTCATACCAGATCAAATGTAAGGGGGCTTAGCTAACGGCTTTCTAATACAGGCTGGGGAGACTGGAGGGCGGGGCTTATAGTTTGAAGTTTGACACGAGCACTTGAACAGGCATTAGAGGATCTCGATTGACACTCTCATTCTGTGTGCTCATGTCTGTGTGTGAGAACAGTTTCCATAGCTCTCTGTGGGAGATTTAAAAAAAAGGTATTTGTGTCTCATAGTGTTGTCCAAGTACCTGAATTTTAAACTTCAGTACGATACTTGTAAAACTGAAATGATATCAATACCTTTTTTGATACCAAAGCAACAAAAATAGAAGACGTAGGCACCCAAAAAGGAAAACATATCTTGTTTTTGGTGAACGAAGTTGCAAGGAATCTCCTGCTAACCGTCTATATTGCACAAATAAATTGGCAAAGCTTCGGTACTGGTATGTTGCCAATGTATTCGTGCTATCAAGACAGTGTCACCACCTTTGCTCTCCGTTTGTAAAGAGACACAGACCTTACTTTTGCATCTTTTATGAGAAGCTAAAATAACTTGTCAGTGTTTACAAGCCTGTGAAATCACTACAGCTGCTCCCTCTCTCTCTCGTTAAAATATTACTAAAGATGTGGCCTTTTTTCAAAGCTTGGGTACTTTTTGATTCATCATTCCATCCATTATGAAGACCACTTTTCCCGTTTGGGGTCACTGGTTGGCTGGAGGTGAACCCAGCTGTCATTGGGCGAGAGGCGGGGTTACACCCTGGACATAAAGACAGACAACCAGCCACAATTTAAAATCACCTATTGACCTTATGAACATGTCTTTGGACTGTGGGAGAAGCCAGAGTACTTGGAGAGAACCCACTCAAGGGGAGAACATGCAAACTCCTCACAGAGAGGCTTCTGTCAGACGGGGATCCAACCAGAAACCTCCTCACTGTAGCGCCAACCACTAGTGTGCAGCCATCTTTTTGATACACTCCATCACCACCCGGAATCACTGAGTATAAAGTATTGCAACTTTTGACAACCTCAGAGCTCGATTAAAAGATAAAGAAAGTAAGAAATGTGCTTATTTGAAGAGTGGAGAGAAGGTTCTCTACATTCATCATTATTAGATTTGAGTCCGGAGCATCATTCACCACACATACACATCATCATCCTGAACATCATTAGCAATGCTACTAAACTAACCAAACCACTATTCCACAGTGGAGTGAAACTGGAGGCAACGACTGGCCATAAGACGCTCAATGATGCATGAGCTGAACCGAAACAGCAACATCATTTGGTTTGAAACAAACTGTTTGTATTTCTCATTACAGACGTAAAAAAAAACAAAAAAAAAAAACACAGACTTTGCAGGAGGATTACTCTTACTGAATGGTGGACAGGGCAGTGAATGCAGCACTGATGCACGAGGGAGGATCAGCTATGTACACAATGCAAGCCCACTCCCTCCACAGTTAGGTCAATGTGTTTGTGTGTTCTGCCCCCCCCCCCCACACACACACATTTAATACAGCAGCTAATCAAGTGGCTCCTCACACACAAAGAAGCAAGTTGCAGAGACACAAGTCAAGACGTTTTTTGGAACATAAAAAACAACAGACGAGTCCTAACCAGGAGTGAGAGCAGAATCAGGGATGCATAACATTTTTTTTTTTTTTTTTTTTAAAGGAAAGCAGAATGAAGAGAAAACATGTGCAAGATTTCAGATGGAGTCGCGTGTCGGTTGCCGATGTGCAATTCATCAGACGTGGGCAAAAAAAGCCTACTCAAACTGTGTCCCCTAAATTGCAACGTATTGATTTAACAGTAAACCAATGGAGAACGCTCATCATGAATATCGGTGGGTGTTGTGTGAAATGTTGTTCCCCCGAGGCAAGCGGGGAGAAAAGGTGGCAGCAACATCATGTCCAATTACTGCCCCAAAATCCAGCTCACAAACCTATAGGCCAATCAGAGATGTCGATAGCAAATATAAAGCCACTGCACTCGGGGTGTGTGTGGACGAGGAGAGTTATCCTTTCAGGAGCTGGGAGCAGAAGTTGAATAAAGGAGGGTTACGCTTTCAGAAACACTGAACGCTGCAGGGGGGAATATTCCCTTTACACAGGGTCAAATCCACTTTCAAGAGCCGATCATATAAGGTTAAACTTTTAGGTTACCAAGCCATACAGGGAAAGTGCGGTGAATTAAGCCAGCTCAGTAAAAACAACACACAAGGGTTGGGAATTAAATTCTCTGGCATGAACATTATAGGAAGGTCAGACAGAGAAAGCTGTTTCCTAGTCTTTTCTCCTTTCTGCATATCTGAAGAGCAGACTATTACACTGTGACTCGCAGAGAGCACTTTACATTTTAAATGAAATGTCTTCAAGTTAAGGCTACTTAGAAGAGCTTCATTCAGGCTGCGACCTGCGATATAATCCTCCACAAACAGCAGCAGCAGCAGCAGCAGCAGCTGTGTCACTCCTCAGAAATATCACTTTAATATTCCTGTTCTGCTTCACTGGAGGCTCTATGTGCCACTAAAACAGAACTCCTTATCATCTCCATTGCCTAGTATTTTAAGATATGCATGCATGTTGAGCTCCTATTAATTCTCTCATGGTTGAGCTGATGAGATTTTGCAGCATATTTCTGCTGCACTATACTTTGGCTGGCAGACTTGTGTATAATTGCCTATATGCGCTCCTGGCTGCTGGGAGTGTTTGTGACTTGTGATCAATTTTCCAATCCAAGGCAGTGAAGCGTGCTCTGCAATGAGACATTTAGTCGCCTAATCGTGGAGTCCGAGTCCATGCCCTTCACTAGCTTTCACCTCAATTAAATTGCAACCTCGAGAGTTTTATTTGCCCCCTTTAATAAAAACTGGAACAAGGTCCTGACGAGAAATCGCAGGGACCCTTAAAGCTCCTCTGTGTGAGTTTGTGCAGCCAGTCACCTTATCTGGGGTCTCAATAGCGAACAGAGACAAGTCCGCTTTTATTAATCAACCCTTCAGTTTCAGTCCTGCCTGGAGAAATACGCATATGTAATAAGTCATTTCTTGCTTGGAAACGTGAGCTGCGAGTTCAGGATTTCATTTAGCACAGGCATGGAAATGGCTCAGATACATTCCACATTAAAAAAGAAAATCTCCCACTCATCAGCATCAGCTCAATTTATATGGAAATGTGGCATAAAAAAAAAAAAAGTAGGTAAACCTCGCGACAGGAGGTGAGCTACTTCTTCCCTGATTCCTCACTGGCATGTCAGCAGCACACAGCCATGTCACAGCAAAAGGAAGAAAAAGGTGTTGTAGCTCTGAAACCAATTCAGGTGTATTATTAACAAGACCTCCATCCAGGCTTACCTTGGGCGACTCCTCGGTGTGCGAGCACCAGGAGAAGAAGAAGGATCCCTTGCGTGGTGGCGCACATCCTCGCCGAGCTGCAGCAACTCCCGCGTCCTATTCCACTTCTCTGTCCACTTTTTCCCATGACGAGCGACGCGTAAAACACATAAACACACCAAAACTCCTCGCTCCAAAGCGGGGAGAAATGAGCGACCCCCCCTTCCACCACAGGGGTCTGCTGGTAAATCAATTGAGTTCAAAAGCGAAAAGGTAAGGTTGTAAAGCCTCTAGTCCCGGTGTGTCTGAGTCCGTCTCAGAAGGCGCAGGTGAAGCTGTGAGAAGAGAGAGAGAGAGAGAGAAAGGTCTGTGGAAATAACCACGCGGCGTCCCCTTCACTCGTGTCAGCGGCACTGCTTGCTGCCTTCCCCACTAAGCTCTGCTTCTCTCTCTCTCCGTGCGCTCTCTCCGTCTCCTGCTCCACTCGCTCCGTTTACGCAGAGAGAGAGAAATGCCACCGCCCTCTGGCTACCATGCTCTGCTTCTCCCTCTCTCGTTCTTCTTCTCCCTTTAAAACAAAGTGAATCTCATCTCAAAACAGATGATGCTTTAAAACAGTTATTAACGTTGTGTGATAATTTATCTCCCACTCATTAGATAACCTCACGAGAGACTTTCGAGAGTCCCACGGACATTATTTTATTTCCACTGTGTTTTTTGTTTGTCTTCTTTTGCATTTCTAACTTTTTTATGTTTGTAAATGGTATTTGTTTAGTTTAGCATTTTGCATTATTTCTCAAATCCTACATCGTTCAACTGTTTGCGCGTGCGCGAAGATTTGCGCGCGCGCGTGTGTGTGTGACTGCAGCCAAAACGTGCAGCCACGTTTCTCCGCGAGCTCACCAACTGATGTCTGCCCCCTGACGGCCGCCACAGTTGGACCTCTACAAGGATGCAAAGAAAAAGAAGGTGCATTTCTTAATTTACTGAAGCCAAGGTGTACTTTAAACTGAATCATTTTTATATGAGCAAATACAGTTTATAATGTTTTTATCTTGGGGATTCAATGCAGTGACCTCTTTATAATGAACACTGAATGGAGGTCACTCACCGAGTTATGTCATCACAGGGTTTATTGTGTTAAAGTGGGGAAAGGTAATAACATAAAAAATACTTAATTTACAGGTTTTTAAAAAAATGTATCAAGAGTGAATAGCTGATAAAAGCAAATGTACTATTATGCAAGACGTCCTTGAACTAACCATTACCATGTAAAGCTGATGAAGCTACAAAGGATGTTAATTCCAGCTTCAGGAGATGAAGTGGTGGCTATTTTATTTTGAAAAATGGAGACTACATGTAGTTTCATAATCAATGCCATGTACAAGTCGAATCACATTACATGTGTTTGTACAAACTGTTTGATATTTAAGCCTAATTAGAGATTGTGTTTTCAATTATCTATAAACACAGTGTCATTGTGAAATGTCTAACCATTCAAGAGGAAGATTCAGCATTTAAGTGACTGATTGATAAACCCAAAAGAAGCTTAATACAAAGCCTCTGTGTGTGTGTGTGTGTGTGTGTGTGTGTGTGTGTGTGTGTTTGCAGCACACACACACTGCCAGCTCCCATAACTCTCCGCAGTGTTGCTGCACAGTCATTTGAGCAGCACAGCCTGGATCATGCATTGTAAATGGCAATAGTAAAATATGTGCCGGGTGCCATTTGTCACCGCAGCAGCCCCACAGCTCAGTGACTAGCAGTGGAAGTAGCTGCTACCCGCAGGGACCTGTAAAAGCCTTTTTATTCTGCCACTTTATTGGGAATGGGAAAGCAATAAGTTACACAAGAAACATATGGCACACTTGGATATGGATCAGCACTCACACTGGCAACATTCAATCGCTGAGGGGATTTTCACAATTCTGTGAGGTCGTACAACACACATATACTTTATAAACACTGTCAATTAAATGTGATTTTTAAGAGGTGTGTTTAATGATTCAAAAAGTATCTGAGTCTGGACAATAATCGCTCTCACACCGCTCAGATTTCCAGAACATTCTCAACTTTTTACCACACCTCTGATAGAAAATAGGCATAATGGGAAAAGTTGTTTTTAGTGGATTGTCCAGAGACCAAAGGAAAATCAAAATCTTTCTCTGTTGGTCCAAACAAAAATCTTAAAAACCAGTCAAAAGATCCAGTAGGCAGGAATGGTTTTACAGACATTTACCCCATTCACCAGAGGAGGACTCCTGGAGACTTTGGAGATCCCCTGAGTTTTCCTCTTGTGTCATCATCAGGTTGAAAGTTGTGGTTTTGTGTCACATGTATCAATAAATACTGAACAGATTGCCAGGACATTTAGTACACACATATTTATCCCCCACAGGTGAATAATTATCATGTCGGAGGTCCCTTAAAGGCTTTATAAATGCGATTTTTTGATCCAGCAGATGTCGCCCTTGAGCACCAGCATGAAACCAAAACAACTCGCGCTGCATTGTTGTGTTAGCATGCTAATGCTAGCGATCTTTATTATGTCGTATCTTCACACTGCATGTAAATTTACCTGAAATGAGCGTGATCTAGAAACACAGTTAAGCAGTGAGTACAGTATGTTATTCTTCTTTTCTCTAGTCCCTCAATTAAACAACTTTTATACATGAGGGGAGGAGTCAGGCGGCCGTCCGGGCGATGTAAACAAACTGAAGATAGGACTCTGAAAACATCACAGACAGTGGGACTCGAGTGTTACACCCATTGTAGACAGTCATGACTCACAGAGTTATTTTCAGAGGATATACATTTATATTATATTTAAGTGAAAATCGTGTATAAAGGTAACTATGCGACTTTCAATCCAGCAGATGTTGCACTTTAGCTCCAGTCTCTCGGCCCAACTCCATCAGAGCTCCGCCTCCCTCTTACCCACACCTCATTTAGTGTTCCAATCAACATCCGAGTGCAGCCATTTGTGCGACTGATCTCTTAGATTTGAAGCCATAAGATGATTTGGCAGACAGCTGGACAGGGAGGGGTTCAGGTGAAAAAAAAAAAATCCTGTTTGAGCCTCTGAGGGAAAGGTAAACAAGCTGTAGGAAGTACACTCATGTCAGTGTGAGCACAGAGCTCAGAACAACAAGAGGGAGTTTGACTTCACTTTTTTTCTTACACATATTTAATGAGGAAGTATTTGATGCCTTCTTTATAATGTTTGAAATTCTGCATATCAGTACTGACATTAGCATTTAGCTCTAGCATCACTGTGCAGCTAGCTGCTAGTGTGGTTGCTGTGAAACTCAACAATGAAAATGTAACAGTCAACATATTGTATTCATATTTTTCAAGCTACAAGTAAAAGAAACATTATACAGTTTTGAAGTGCATATTTCACCCTGATGCTCTGCAGGTGAGGATGATGCATATTCTGCATACAACCTGGTCTTCATTGAAAAGCAGACAGGCCACTAAAGCACTTCTTTTTTAAATGCTGAATGTGAATCTGGTTCCTCCTCCTCACTTTTCACAGGTTGAGTTTTTTTTTCTCCACAACTGTGAATGGGAACGGTGTTTAATACTCCCCCACTCGAGCTGGAAAATAGATCCCAGTGTGTGTGTTTGTATGTGTGTAGAGTGTGTGTGTGTTTGAGTGTGTTGTCCTGGCTGCCCTCGAGCCCACCAGCTCTACTTTTAACTCAACTCCCCAAGGACTTTGTCACACTGTTTTACATCTTCACTTTTCCTCTCAATGTGAGGATCGTTAAAGATAACCCGACATCACTTGTTTCATGTTTTATCATCATTACAGAGAAACACAATAACAAGATGGTTGAACATATCTTCCCATCGGTTGTCTGATCCCGTAACACACTGTATCAAAGACGCGAGTCAGAAGACCGCGTAGACGACGTTGAAGAAGAAGAAGTAAGAGGACAGCACCACTTAGATATTACAGAAGCTGAGAAGGTTATACAACATCATTTAAAAAAAAAAGAAAGCTTCTTCTTCTGGAGTTTACTGGTTTTAATGTGTTATGCACATAAGAGTGCGAGGTTATTTTAAAGCAATTACATTAGTTTTATGTTTTGTTTGTTTGGAAAGTCCTCAGAGGAAGACTCTACATATTTGGAAAATACCACCAAGTGCTATTTTTCTGCAGAATAAGACAAGGAAACCAGTCTTATGTGTGGGCGGGCGCGGTAACTTCCTAGAGGCTTGTCACTACCATTTGGTTGCCAGGCAACCAGTCAGGTATCATAGGATAGTCCCTGTCAACCAGCTTTAACATTTTTTGTTGTGATTAAAGTAATTAGACTCGATGTGTTAAAGCTTCTGTGAGGAGTTGAAACACACTGAGATGAATACTGATTCCTCTTTTTGACCCCAAAAAAAATGCAAACAAGAACATCAGTGATGACTGATTATTACTATGAAGTGTTTTTTCTGTGACTGAAACCACATGGCGGGGGTAGATGTCAGACGAAGTGGCTGACATCACGCTGATGAAACTTTATTCACATGTGGTCATTCAAGCGGGCGGCCTGGTTTCAGCCTGTGGCTCCTTTACCACATGTCAATCCCTGCTCTCTCTCTCTCTCCCCTCGATTTCTGACTGTAATCCATTTCTGGAAATCATTAAATGCTAACAACTGGCTACGACGGCAAAGTTAACATCCATTCCCAGAGTCAAATATTGTCAACCCAATAAGAGAGGAGGATTACTGATTGTTTCAGGGTCTCAATTCCTTAAAAAAAGTTTGACCTGCTCCCTCATAAAACCAGCCTCCCTCTCTGACATAAGCCTCCACTCTTGTAACTTTTAGTTAGGCAGAACTAGCATAATGTAATGTGTTCTCTTTTTTTAAGCTCTCTCTATTTGATGTTAGAACAGAAAGCAGCCCACCCCCCTGGGGGTGACTAGGTTTAATCTCTTTAAGCAGTTACATAATGGCCCCCAGTTCACTTTTTAATCAGCGAATAGATGGCTGTGCCCAGGGACGAATAATCACATCTATAACTTTCTAATCTAATATCCAGCTACATTCAAGTGGATTAGAGGAGGAACAACAGGGGAGAGAGGAGGGGCACAGGTGGTACACCTCGATGTGAGACCGTGTGTGCGCCGCAGGATTTTATTTATGTGTTATTTTGAGGAGGAGAAAATGAGACAGGATTGGCGTGTTTCTGTCTGGAGTTTGTGTGCAGGTGAGTGAATATATGTGTGTGTGAGTCTGTCTCGTTCAGAACACGCTGTCCATGTATCAATCCTTTCAGATCACTTTTGATTTTAAGCGTTTGGCCGGTTTGTTTGGTGATGAGTACTGACAATCTCATTCCCTAGATGGCTCTGTGTGACCCCACGGTTTGTCCCGAACGCTGAGTGCAACATCACCGGCGGGAGCAAAAGTGAATCATGAAATGTATCCAGACAGACA